GGGGGTTGGAAAAGCGCCTCGTCTGCCATTTCCAGGGAGAACTAACGTTCCGAATAGTTACGATTGCTATTTAGATTAAACCGCCTCAAGTTTTTAAAGAAACTTTCTATGGATAAGTTTGCTAAAAGCCATCCGAGTTGGGTATTTAAAGCAGCGGTTTATGGGAGGAGGAAGGTTGGTGTGCAGTGACAATCAGCCCTAGCGGACTGGGAAGCCAGCGGACCCTGCATTTAGGGACCAGAGAGACCCAGCCTTTTACCCGAAAACGTGGGTCTGTAAGTCGGCCCCATGTATAATCGGCGTTAGCAAGCGCCTGCAGCTGACCAGACCAGACCAGGAGCTCCTGGGTCGTGTGTCTGTATCTCGCTCATTCCGCTGGGCTTATTGGTAAAGAATTACTTGGTCTCCGGGTGTGCAAAGATCAACTTGCTCAGTCCCCTTTAAAATATATTCATTTCGTGCCTTGTTAAGCCAGATGCACAAAAAGCCATTTGCTGCTTCATTGTTGGTTTACATTTTTTGAAAAGGCGCCTGGTGTAACCTGTGGAATTTGAAATGCAAATAAAAGCCTGTGGGAGTTGAGGCAGAACAAATCAGCGTTTATAAAGTGAATAAGATTTAATGTCTTTGAAATCACTGCAGAGGAAGAAAACGGGAGAGGGGGAGTCATTTTTCAGGGAGTGAACTGTGACGTCAGGTCTTTTTGGAAAAGATGTTATTTTTAAGGTCTGAAACCGGGGTATGTAAAGTGCTTACGGAAAAACAGATTACAAGGTTAACATCTGTTAACATGATCGTTTATCTCCAGCCAAAAATAGGTCAGTTCTTTCTTAAGGAAACACCATTGCTGGCGCATGCTTAAAGAATAAAATCAGTTCATAGATTAGGACCGGCGTTTGTTATGATCTGACCTGTGAAAAACATTTTCTAGTTTCGAGATCAATGAAAGGTCGAAGTCTCTTTTCGGTGTTGGGGACAACTCTTCACCCTGCGTTCACCCCTCCCAGATGTCCCCCTTCTCCTTACTCGGAGCCCCCCCTCCGCCTCCTCTCGGGATTGCTAATTTCCCTTTTCATCCATTGTGGAGGCACAAAATACATTTAAATGGATATTGTCTGACGCCCCCCTCGTTAGAGAGGGCGAGCTCTGCGCGCAGATGGCGAACTTTTAGAGCTCTGCTGTTGTTTTAGCATTAAATGAAACGGTAGGGAGGGGCGAAAAAGAAGGAAACAGCCTTGCAAAGTTTCCCTGCCTCCCGACTGAGAGTGACGGCTGTACTGGCCAATCCGTAGCGGCTTTCTCCATCCCGGAGGTACTTTGGGGCGTGAGTGTGTGTGCGCGCGCGCGTGCATGCGCCCATGTGTCTGCACACTTAAGTCCCACCAGCCCCGCGCATCCTCAGGCTCCTGAATTACACAGCTGTGTGTAGACGTGGACACGCTTTCATCTGAGTCTGTGCAGCCAGTTGGGCACGCAGGAGCCCAAATAAAGACCCTATCTCCTCCGAGTGTTCTGTGCAGAATGGGCATAAGGGGCGCTTCGGGATTCAAGTCGAAACCTGCAGAAGGGGGAAATGAGAGGAGCGATGTGATTATGCTGCTTTCTCGGCGACTGGGGAGTCAGCTCCTCCCATCGCCCCCACGCGCGGGAGCGCCCTAGCGCTTGGGCTCTGGCGGATGGAGCCCCCTCGCCCGGCGCAGCGCGCACAGGACCGAGGCTTGTTGAAACTGGCGTGAACTCCAGCAAAGTGAAAGGCAGCACGTACCCTCCAACTTCAAATTGTTTTCTCTCTGGAAGTCGATACTTAGTCCACGGCGGATTCTAGAATGCGACCCGCTCACGGTCGGTGGAAGTTCCGCGGCCCAGCGACGCAGCAGTGCGGAGCGGGCCGCGCTTCCACGCGGTGGTCGCATTCGCGGGCGCGCGCGTCGCAGGCCGCCCCGCGGAGCGTCCTGGCTTGCTCGGGTCCCAGCTCCCTGGGAGTACTGGCAGTGGCGTGTGTGGGAGCGTGCGGACCAGACCGGGCCATGCCGCATCTGTGTCCCTGCTGGAGTGGCCGTGCTGCCTCACTCAAGGGTAGACGGTGATGCTGCCGCGCGCGGGTTAAGGACCCGCGTGTGCCCCCTCCCGCCCCCGAGACCCCTGCTGAGAGACCCAAGGGAGCGCCTCACGCCCCGGTTTGTCCACGTCGGCCGTGCCGGGCCGGACTGAGGTCCGCCCGAGGGCCCGTGGGCAACCCTAGGCGACCTTGGTCCACCCCCCGCAAGAACCTAACTCGGTTACGAGGCGGTGTCCGGCCTCGCGCCTCCCACTCGGGCAATTTCCGCCCCCCGAGCCGGAGTTGGGCGCGATCCCGCCTCCCCACCGCCTCCCGGCGAGCTCAGGGATTGAGGAACGGGCCGCAGCGGGGAGGTGTCGCTGGATTAAATCATTCCTATTTCTGTATCTCCCTGCGGTGCGGCGCTGGGCCTGGGGCGCCCCGTGC